TTTTTTACAAAAATATATTTCTAAAATAATTGGTGTGTTCTCTAGTAAATTTTATTTGTAAAGTAGATACAATTTATTTAAAATCTTGAACAAATGTTACTTAATACATTTTTAAGCGGTCTTTTATATGCTTTTACTCTATTACATCTTTTACATAAAAATTAAGTCTTATTGCAATGTTTGAAATGTTTAATACTATTTTTAATGTATTAAAATTAGTATAACTACTATACTATTATCATATTATTATAGAAATTCCATTATCAAGAAAACGAAGATTTAATAAAATGACATATTCTCCATTTTAAATGAGTAAATAATTTACTAATACAGAACATTTGTTATAACATTGAAGATATCTCTGGTGGTCTGATGGATGATTGGCTAATTGCACTGCAAACCCCAAAAGATGGGCAGGTTGATTCCATCAGCTTCTCCTCTGGAGAAAAATGAGCAATTTCCTCCCCTGTGATTTATAACTTTTGAAAACCCACTGAAGGGTCACCTCTGAGTGGGTTCCAACTCCACGACAATGGATCTTTGAAAATATTTCCGAAAAATACTAATTCTTATTTAGAGAAATAATTGGCTCAAACATATCAGAGATGGTGAAGATGGCACAGGAAAGCGCAAGGTACAGATCTGTTGTTCACAGAGTCGTTATGAGGTGCAGCTGAGTCAAAGGTACCTACTAGAAATGACAGCATAACCTCAAGTACTTACTTTTTCAAGATAATAAATATCACAAAAATATAGTTAAAAATGTAAAACATTAGAGAAGTGCAATGCAATGATAGATGTTTTAAAAGACATTAGATAACATATAAGAGGTGTAGTGCTTATGTACCATCAACTTGGAAATGAATCATAGCTGATTCTCCAGTGGCTTTCAGAAGCACTAAATCTCACAGGAAGAGATATATACTCTTCAGTGACAGCTAGCCATCGCTTTCCAGAGTATAACACAACCATCTATTAAATATCTGTTGTATAAGGACCTTCATTAATGCAAATGATTTACAATCAATTACTGACCTATAGATTGGAATTTAAGCCCACCTAAGAAAAGGGGCAAAAGGATGTTTGGTGATCTACTACCCAAAGGATTACTTTCCTAAAGGTCACAGGAACATTTTGTAGTGCATGATGTCATTATGAGTCAGAATCACTTGATGACAAGGGAAGTCTGTTTACTTTTCTCTTATGGCTTCTTTTTCGGAGGGTATTAGATTTGATCGGAAACCCAACTGCCTGAGTTCAAATTTTTACCCCATTCCTTAATAGTAATTTGATTGTGGGCAAGAAATTTCTGCTGTCCGTGCCTCCTCAGTATCTAACACTCCCTAGGATAGAGAAGTATCGTGCCTCATTGTTTAAGTAGCAATTAGTATTATTAAATCTCATTCTCTCTTCATTTTAACTATTATTGCTTTAAAACAGAGCCAGATGTTTTTAACTATTAAATCTCTATCTCAAGTATTTCCCTATAAGCCCAATGTACACACATATTTCGTAGTAACTTAATAAAATGTGAGTCTTGCTCCTTCACACTCCTTATAATATTTTTCTCATCACCTACAAAATAAAGGTAAATACTCTTGGTCTTTCATTATAGGACAAAGACTTTCAATTCCTAAGGAAGAGATTTAGGGTATTTTGAACAAAGAAGAAATGAGAAACACGCTGCTGACAAATATGTGGGAGGCCATAACTGAAGCCAAACCAATTGTCATAGATTTGATTCCAACTCACAGTGATCCTAGAAGACAGAAGTACTCCAGAGGGTTTTCAAGGTTGTAATTCTTTACATGAAAAGACTGCCACACTATCAGTGATATAGATGCTATGGTTTATCTATTTATTAATGAATTTGTATGTTTTTATGAATTTTTAATTTTTTATTATAATTAAAGTTGCTATAAATAATTGCAATCAAATCCTTGTGCTTCAATTTTTCTTTGGTAAATTCTTAAAATTTTTCTATTTTTGTTAATACTATAATTATGTGAAAGGTGCATACTTTGTAAGAAACCTAAACGCTTTTACAACGTGGTCATACCAGTTTTCATTCCAACAACGTACATGAAAGCTCCAATTGTTCCACTTCCTTACCAACTCATAGTATTTCAATACTTTGTTTTCTGTTAATTCTAGTGGTATCTTAGTATTTTACAGCAGTACTGATTTTCATTTCTTTTGTAAATGATAAGTTGTAAGCATTGGTGGCTTAGTGGTACAGTATTGCACTGTCAATGCAAATATACGTGGTTTTAGTCCACCAGCTACTCTGTGGGAGAAAGATGGACAATCTTCTTTTATGTGATGTGCTGTTTTTGAAAACCTGCTGGAGGGTCATTTATGGGTTGTTTCCATCTTGACCATTACACAACCAGGAAATGACAAGGGAGCTCTGGTGACTTTCTCTTTCAACTCAGTGGCAAAAAATTTGAATCTACCAGTTACTCTGTGGGAGAAAAATGGACAATCCTCTCTATGTAATTTACTGTCTCTAAAAACCTGATAGAGGGTCGTTGTCAGCCAGTTTTGACTCTACACTACATAAAAACAATGGCAAATGATACTAAATATTACTGTTTATGCCTGTGTTATGACCCATGCATCAAGGGAAGTAATTCTGAAATTAAACATATAAGATAATATTTTCTTCCTCATATTGTAAATGGGTAACTCCAGGTGTGAACAATACTGTTGTTTCCAATTTGGTTATTCAACTTTCCTGACACAGTTTCTCTTTTTCAGGCTTGCAGGTTTCCTTAACTACAGTCTAACCAGCATTTCATCATGCCAATTTTCAATGGCACTGCCTCTGCTTGGCCGACCTTCTCCTTCATTAGCATCCCTGGATTGGAGACTGCACACATATGGATTTCAATTCCTTTCTGTCTCATGTACCTGGGGGCCCTTGCCGGCAATGCTCTTCTTCTCATCTTAGTTAGAGTAGAACAAAATCTACACGAGCCTCAGTTTTATTTTTTGGCAATGCTTGCTCTCACTGACCTAGGCCTTTCCATGACTACAATGCCCAGTGTCATGGCTATCTTCTGGTTTGATGTCCACCATATTGGTCTGGATGCTTGCCTGACTCAAATGTTTTTCATCCACACCTTATCCTCAGTAGAATCAGGTGTCCTGGTGGCCATGGCTTTTGACCGCTTGGTAGCTATCTGTGCTCCCCTAAACTACACCAGGATTTTGACACACTGTACTGTCGCCTGCCTCAGTGGAGCTGCTCTTGTACGTGGTGTCACACTGCTAGCCCCTCTTCCTTTTTTCCTCAGGACCTTCCCTTTTTGTGGGGACAATATCCTCTCACACTCTTACTGCTACTACCCAGATATGCTGAACCTGGCCTGTGGGGATGTCACTTTTAGCAGCGTCTATGGACTAGTATTTGTGGTCTGTACCTTTGCAGTGGATGCAATCTTCATCCTAGTTTCATACATAAAGATCTTGGGCACTATTATGAATCTGGAGACCCAGGACAGAAACTGGAGATCACTACAGACGTGTGCCTGTCACCTGTGCACAGTTTTGGTGTTTTATCTGCCCCTCATCAGTTTGGCAGTGTTACATCGTTACACCCGAGACACTTCCCCTATTTTGTATACCATCATGAGCAACACCTACCTCCTCATGACACCATTTCTCAACCCTCTTGTCTACAGTCTCAAATCCAGGCAGATCCAGGCTGCCTTGCGCAAGAGATTTGGAGTGCAACGTGTCATTGCTGGAGAATGAGATTTTTCTTTGCATCAAAGGAAACAACCAGTTTTAAAAATGCTGTTCAGAATTTACTCTGTGCCATGTAATATAGTAGGCACCATGAATCAAAATTTGAAAAATGCCAAGGTCTTCCCCTGAAGAAGCACATCATTTAACCCAGGAAGTTAAAGTAAGTGGAATATTTAAATGAATAATCGGAGCTCTAATAATGAGTAGCTTCTTGGTAGTGGTAAGGAGAGATGTCAGTTGGAACCAAAGTTTAGTGGTTTTTTTGGAAGTGCATTGGGTTAGCATCAGAACTACCATAAATATTTAAGCTGGATTTAGAAGAGGTGTCAGGTGGATCTTGACAGAAAGCAAAGAGTACCAGAGGAATATCTATCTGATTGACTATGCAAAGGCATTTGACTCTGTGGATCATAACAAATTGTGGTTAACTTTGAGGAGAATGGGACTCTCAGAACAAACAGTACCCAGAACAGAGCAAGGAAACACTGCATGGTTCAAAATCAGGAAAGTAGTGCATCAGGGATGCATCCTGTCTCCATACGTTTTCAATTTATATGCAGAACAGATCATCCGAGAGGCTGGGCTTTATGAGGAGGAATGTGGCATCAGGATTGGAGAAAGACTCATTAACAGTCTGTGGTATTGCTGAAATTGAGGGGGACCTACTTGCTGCAGAAGGTCAAGGACTGTAGTTTTCAATACGGATTGAAGCTCAAGATCAAGAAGACAAAGCTGCTCATCACTGAGCCAATTGGCAGCACCATGATGGATGGAGAAGAGATAGAGGTTGTTAATAGCTCCATTTGCTCAGCTCCATAATCAACACTCTTGGCATCAATTGCACTGGGAAAATCTTTTGTCTGGTAACTGACAATGATGTCAGTCTAGAGACCAAGGTGCACCTGATCAAGGCCATGGCCTTCACAACTACTTGCCAAGAAAAATAGATCTGTCTTGGAGTAGCTGAAACCAAGTTTCTACTTGGAGGCTAGGATTTTGAAGCTCCGTGTCACATACCTTGTGCATGTGGCCAGGAAAAACTCGTCCTTAGAGAAGTACATCATACTTGAAAGGGTGGAGGGACAGCCCAAGAGAGAAAGACCCCAGATAAGATGGATTGAAACAGTAACTGGGAGTAGGTGAGTCTGAGTCAGTGAAACTGTCTCAGGACAGGGCAGGTTTCAGAGCCATTGTCACAGACAGGGTTTTTATGAGTCACAGGTGATTTGACAGCACAGAACAACAACAAGCTGATAAAATCGGGAACTTGATTCTGGACTGTACAATTTTAACTCACTTGCATTCACTTATTACTGTGAAGCAGAAAACTGACTCAGAGCTAATTTTCAGAGGCTGTAAATTGCACAGGAGATTGCCCCTTTCTCCTATGGAGCCACTGATATATTCAAACCGCTACATTTGGGTTAGTAGCACAACTCTCTAAGGACTACATCACAGAAGCTCCTGAAAGAAATTAAAAGAAACTTTATTTATATAGCAACCAAAATATCTTTTGATTCTCTGTTGCTAATGTTGCCTGAGTTAAAACATTAAAAATTTCTTTTTTATGACTAAATGTTTGATATTTATTGCTGTTTATTATAGGTGAATAGTGGTTAATGTTCTGCATATTGTAGTCATTGTTGTGGTGATGTACTGTTGAGTCAGAACCAACTCATAGCTGACCCTCTGGTGGGTTTTCAGAGGCAGTTAATTGCATGAGAGGAGGTTGCCCATCCTTCTCCCATAGGCCATCTGGGGGATTCAAACCACGTGCCTTCAAGATAGTAATGCAGCTTCTTGCCACTAGGCTACCAGAGCTCAATAGCAAATGATAACGATGTTGTCTTAATAGAAATATTCTAAAGTGGTTTAGCTGATGGTTATTCTTTGTCATTTATTGCTTTATTCAGGATTCACACTATTAAAATTCTTTTCCCATTTTATATAGATGAGATAATACCATGAACTGTAAAACAAAGTTTTATCTCTTTCTTATCAAGATTTCTAAAAAGTAATAAAAAGAACACATTTTCTTCAGGGACTGACTCATATAAAGTAAGAATAATTAGAAAATAAAGACTTTCCCCTCTGGGATGAATGTAAAAAGCAAGGAAATAAATGCAAAAGAGAGACTAATATCCCGTGGCAATAAATAAACATAAAATGTCACAAGCTAGAATCTGATGCTCCTTTCAAACAATTTTAGATTAATTCCCAAATTAAAATACAAATAAAATAACAAATTTTAAATATAATTCTGACATACTATGCGTAAAAATTATATAAAAATAAACACAATGATATCATTATTTATATTCTCCCAATGAAATTATGGAATCTTAAAACATGTAGCAAAACATTTTTAGTGAGATTTTCAATTCAGAATTGTAGGAATTCAGAGAAAATAGAATTTATTGAAGCCTGGGTTTGCTAAGTGCCTCTTTGAAGAGTGAAAGAGGATCAAGAGGAGAAAACACCATTGAAACTTGAACCATATCTAAACTCCAAAAGCATTCATCTAGTTTTGATTTATCATTCTTTAATAGGAAGGTAGATATCAATTGGAAGATAATAATTGTCTTCATCTTTAGTGAGAAATTATTTGGGAACATGTAATGAACATACCCTTGTATGAACATACTCTTCATAGAAATTCTGATTTTTAGCCTGTTTCACAAATTTAAAGATCCAATTTATTAATTTTTATTGTTATTTTCAGTTGATGTTTCCTAACTTCAATTTAGAGAACAATAGAAAGTCATTTAGCAATTGTTCCTTTTAGGCAGGAAATATTTTTTCTTTCAGGAATTTTTCATTTACCTGTATGATTTAGGTAAACTATATGGTTTGGTATCAACATTCTAATATACTCTTTCATTGATCTTTCAATTGTAGAAACTAATGACAGAATAAATTATTTTTGTCCTTTTCTACGCTTATGTGAAGAAGAAGAGAAATCTGGTTAAGGTCACTCAACTCATCTCATTGCTTTTGAGATGAAGTGATCAAAGCTGACCCTCCATTGGGTTTTCGAGGCTTCAAATTGCATGAGAGGAGACTGTCCATATTTCCCTCCACCCCCTGAATCATTGGTGGAGTCCAATCAATGCCCTGCAGGCTAGGCGACCAGAACTCCCTCACATTAAGATTTGCAGCCTCAGAAGTCCAAGATGGAGGCTACTTTAAGTAGAAATCAACTAAATGACAATGAATTTGAACCTTTAAAAAACAACAAACCTCTATTAGAGTCTATCTGACTCTGAAACAGTTGAGATCATCATCTTTACCGTTTATATAAAGAAAACTTACCAATATTAGGATAAAATAAATACTAAATAAAAATCGACACTTATTTGTGACACTTCTTTAGAAAAAGACATAACAATGTTGAGTGCTTGAGCTTGAGGTCTCTGAAGACCTTACTGTGACTTGTTCTGGTATTTTTCTGAAAAGTTTTCAAAACTCTTCTTACATTCAAGTCACAACCAACTCATAGGTTAGCCTCCAGTGGGTTTTCAGATCCTGTTAATCTCACAAAATGAGAATGTTCATCTTTCTCCCTTGGAACAGTTGATCCATTAGTTGATGGATCTGGCCACTGGGTTGGCAGCACAACTCCTTAGTAGGTTGCGAGAGCTGGACCTTGCATGCATATGCAATACATTTCATCTTTTACTTACCTTGTTTTACTTTGAGCTTTAACTTTTTAAACAAAATAAAAAGACATTTTAGGGGATTGTTTCCTTTTATAGAAAATGCACATTTAGTCCTGAAAAAGTAAGTTTATTTCTCTTTTATAGCTTTTTTTTTTGTCTGATATGACCCCCTTCAATGTGTAGCACAAGGTTAATGTTCAAAAGACCTGTGTAAAGATCAAAAGAAAGAAGGGCACAAAAAATTGTTAGAAAAAAAGTTTACAAGGGTAAAAACAGGAAGGTACCAGTATGTGAAAAGAAATTGATGACTACTCCTGAGATGTAATGACAGTATTGGAGAGATAAGTAAATTACATAATAGACAAACTTAGACAAACTTAGTCTAAACAATTTTACACATTTGCACATATTCATACATTCTAGGAAAAATTTCATAATGAGAAAATTATAAATATAAAACTAAACTACAAAACAAATATACGTTGTTTACTTTGATATAGCTATCAGAGTGAAAAATCTTACTTTTCTTAATTTATCTTTAAATTCCTGTTTGACTTTTGTCCTTTACCATACTTTTGGCATACAATAATGATGACTAATATTTACTGAGCATTTACTATATGCAAAATATTGTTGTAAACAGAAAATAATCACATTTCCTTTTATATTATGCTTATAAAATAAATATCATCATTAATTCAACTTTATTTTACAAGTAAATAGAGCCACAGGGTGTTAAGTCAGTATTTTCCATAGATAGAACAACAGATAAGCTATAGTCTTGACTTTAATCAATGCATGCTTGTATTAAAATACCCGTAAAATCCAAGTGAACGCTATATTAAGAGCTGAGATATATATTTCCCAGGAAGGCAAATTTTTAGTACTCTGTCCTATTTTTTATTTGATTTCTTATTTTAAGAAAATGCATGACTTATATTTGAATAGTCACAAAGTAAATATTGCAAAAGAAATAAATTTTAATCTCATATATTGTAAATATGAGAATAACAATATAAATATTTGGATTTTATCTGATGTGATTCATAGCCTTTCTTATATATAAAATATTTAGAATACTTTTAAGATTTAAATGGAATGCCGTACATTAAATGCTATAAAACTTTGAAGCCTAAGATGATATGATATGTATAGAATGAAGGGGCATGGAGTTTTATAACACTTCTCTAGATAAAATATTTAAAACTAGTAGGAAATTTCACATTTCCAAAAAGTTTTAAGTAGAAATAGTCAGAGATGTACTAAAAGAAATACCTTAGCCACACAAGAAAAGATTATCTGTTCTTTATTTTCTCAACATCCTTGGTACCTTTAAATAAATTTCTC